CGTGTTTGTATAAACGTGTTCCTTTCTTTAAAACAGCTAATTAATAAATTACTATATCTTAAAAGCTCATAAAAAATGCATGAGCATTGCACCGGGGGGTGGGGGTGGGGGGGGTGCAACAGCCAGACTTTTCAGATTTGTATTCTGGAACAACCGCACTTCTTTTTCTCACTTGCAATCCAAGTTTACTGACTCATCTATTAAATAGGATGCTTTATCTGAGACCTGTTCATTATAAAATGTTATTTCTTCCACAATTCAAACCTTTGTGAAATGTTCAGAGTTACGTTTTGCAGCGTTTATAAAAACATTATTTCATTTTATTTAGATACATTTTATCATTAGTGCAAAAGTCACCTACGGTTTTGTGCATCACAATCAAAAATTTTGTTTTAAATCTATAAAAATCATCATTAAATAAATACACCAACATGAAACGATACTGCGTTCCCTTCATCATCCTCTGAATCCAGCCTTAACTTCCACTGATCACTCAGTGTGACTTTATTAGTCTCTGATGTGAAGAACATGTTTGTTCAATTTAACACTGTCAATAAAGTTAATATATATACATATATATATATATTTTTTTTCATCAGTGATTTAAATCCTTGGAGAAAAAGATTCAAAACCATGATAACCAATGCCAAACACTCTGGCTCCCCCTAGTGGACAACTTCTGCTAATGCCTCCTGGTTCTCAACAAATCACACAAACCCAGACTTTAGGTCAACTGTCTATTTAATATATAAAATACAGTAAAACATACGCAAAAAGGGGAGGAGGGTAAGCTGGGACCAATGGATACTTTGGTACAATAACAAACACTTTTTTTTGTAAAAGCAGTATAGAATTTGTAATAACATATCAGTGCATACTTTATTTATGAAAATATACACAAATTGTATATCATTCTCCAAAAAAAAACAACAAAAATTATCTTTACAACAGAAAAGCTGACTAGCCAAACACAATATATTAGCTATAATTTACTTAAAACCTTTACTTCAATTTCTTTTTTTCTTTTTCTTAAATGTCATATTGTGTGACGTGTGTTTGTGTCAATGTTACACTTTGTTTCCTACAACATGATTCACTTTCTCTTGCTTTTGAAACGGCCATGCATCGTGTCTGGTTAGAAATAAGTTAGACGTGTCACGCCGCCCCTCTTAAACCTCCCCCCCCCACAACCCCACCACCTCCGTGTGGACTGACAGGTTCGTATATAAAACCTAAAAGCTGCAGCATAGATGCGTTTTGTCGCAGTCCACTCGTTTTTTTTGTACTAATAAAAAATAAATCATCACCACGCTTGTGTTGTGTCAGGTCATAAAAATCGTGCAACATTAGTAACACCCTTTTTCAACAAAAAAAAAAAAAGAAAAAAAAAACAAACCCCAAGAAGAGAAAACAGAAATACATATTTATAAGATATTTTCAAAAATATGAAACCAAATTTTAAAATAAAACAAAATGTCTAAATCTACACAAAGAAACTCAGCGTTCTATATCATCATGACATCTACCAGCAGTGAATCCTGTGGTAACGATGATAATAGTAGTAATATCGATCTGTAGAGAACAAGAAAACAGACTGTCACCAGAACAAATTAACACTGAAAAGTCCTTTAGACTTCTAGACATCATTATACAGAGGCGTGTGTCGCTTTTTCAGGGACGGGGGGGGAGGGTGGGGTATCAGCACGATTGTCTTTCTGATTGTAATAAAAGCGACCCCTAGTGTTGGTCTACAGGCGTGTCACAAAGCTGCCTCTGTTACCTTTTGGGAAAAACCGGCTCCTCTCTGACTTACAATTTGATTTTGTTCGAAGCTCTGGGCACAACAGTCTTAAAAGTCCTTTTTTTTTTCACGCTGTGCTTCCCCTGTGCCACGCACTCAGACAAGCGTTAATGAAACTTGTCAAACCGAGGATGAGAGCGTGTCAGAGAGTGACAGACAGAGATAAAGAAAATGGGAACTTATTCTAAATTGAGCAGAACTTGATGAAGCTGTGTCACGTGTGAAATTGACCCCGAAACTAAATTAATTTTATCTCAGCGTTGCAACTTTGTGCACGGAGTAAACTAGAAGATGAGTGTGTATGCAATGACATATCGATGTGTTTGTGCAATATTTGAGGTTTAAGCCTCCAGAGAGGACATAAACACCCAGTGAGTGAGTGACAGGGGCGAGAGGGAGGTGACGGGGGCCCGCCCGGGATGCGGATGTGGCAACTGGATGTGGTAAATCCCAAAGTCGACAAGTCTGTGTAGGATTTGGGAGGTAGTCATTAAAAGATCAGAAACCTCCGGCTTAAAATCAAATGATACTCAAACTCGGCCTCCAGGGCTTTTCACCGGCAAATGGACGGAGGCCAAGAGTGCTTTTCAGGAAAAATAAATACACAAACTTCCACTTTTTCACAATCACGGCTTTAAAAAGCTACTCACTAAAATCCCCGAAAGAAATCACCATTTGACACTTTATTTTATAGAGTAGAAAAATGACATCCTTCACACCCTTTTATCCTCGTAGGATTTTTAAAAAACTCTCCAAAGTATAAAACTACAGCCAACCAGTAACAGGCGAAGGAGAGGTCCTTTAAATACAGATACATGGCTTTTTGTTGGAGGGAAAGACAAAGTTTAATCAGATTAAGATCTAGGGGACTTCCTTGGCATCTTTACATTTTTCCTATCTGTGTTTGTGTGTGAGGCTAACTGATCAATTTTAGCAGAAACCAGTGAGCAGGATAGTGTGTGGGTTGCTTTGCTGATCTGTGTGATTTGGACATGTGGGGCCTCCATAGGCCCCTCAGCATCAGCGCTCCGCCTCCTCCACTGAGGTATTACTTTATAACGACAGAATTTAATGAACCTTTGAAATTTAAATTGGTTATAAAGTTTTGTTTTACTCTTTCTAAAGTTTAAACACACCATGTTGTTGCTAGCTGTAAGTCCGCTGCGTATGTTAGCTGATTCCAACCTTAAAAAAAGGATGAAGTCAACAGCAAAACACACAACCAGGCCTCCTTAGAAGAGCAGAGTTATATTTATCAGTGGACTAAAGTAGGGATGCACGATATTGGGATTTTGGCCGATATCCGATATGCCGATATTTTAAAACTCATGTAGCCGATAACTGATATTAAAGCTGGACAAAAATAAGTAGTCATTGAAAATAGCAGTTTTGTTATCCATTTCTGACACTTTGAAAAATAATATACTCAAATATATTTTCATATTCTGATATCAAATTGATTGTTAAAAACGCGGTATCGATCTATTTTACTTTCAAAATCTCGTGAAATTTCATTGTTCTGTTACAAACTCTCGTGATATTTTGCAAATTCTTGTGAGATTTTGTTAGTAAAATAGATCCATACCGTGTCAATATATCAACATATAAAAATATGGCAAAATTTCGTGAATTTTCAGGGGGATTTCGTAGCATAACGATGACATATAGCAATATTTCATTAGTAAAAGAGATTGATATGGTGTTTTTAAATGGCAATATATCAGCATATGAAGATATTGGGATATTTTAATGATCAATATTTTTTCCCTCGTCTTTAGAAGTTTTTAAGTCTGTAAAAAAGAAGTTTTTGAGGAAGAAGAAGTAGTAGTATTTCCTTTTTTAGACTTTAGAAACTCAGAAGCTGATCAAATATCGGGTTAAATATCGGTGGGGTGGCCGATGTCCGATATTCAGTTTTAAGGCCGATACCGATAGGGGGCCGATTATATCGTGCATCCCTAGACTAAAGGAATTGCTTGTAACGATTTGCACAGCTGTAAAATAAAAAGCTTAAAAAGAACAACTAACCCTCCTAATAAACCAGCTAACTTCAGCTTTTTAGACTTTACCTGGAAGAATTTTTATTTATTTTCACTTTAAACTGAACATTAGCAAATATTTATAATTTTCAATATTCCTTTAATCTTACCATCTTTTCTATTAAATTTACATCCCTTATTTATAAATCATTTTTTTTTTTTTTTAACTTTCATGTTTTTTGGTTCTTCCAATATTAATGTTAGGACTCAAATTAAAGCAATAGCTTTATCAGAATTGTAATGACATGATCAGAGGCAACATTTAAAAGTTGGATTTTTTTTTTTTTTTTTTTTTTATAAAGTTTTACCAATTATGTTTAATTCCTATTATATGCTGGCATTCAATCTGTGATATTCTTACTACCACATATTTAGAAACTAAAACTGGTCCAAGTATATTAAAAAGAATAATCAAAATATTATTATGTGCTTCAACCAAAAAAAAAGTTTATTTTTAAATGATGTTTTCATTTATTTATGTATCTTTCTTTAGAAATTTTTGAAGAGAGGCATTGCTTCTATGTTTATCTCCTTGATTATTCAAATTAATTGGTTTTAAAACAGAATATTAAAAAAAAAGCAGCCCATAGTAATGCTCATTTATATCTGAATAAAAGCTAGATTATTTTGGCGTATCAGTCTTACCCTCCTGTGTTCAGCCTGTGCTCATCGGTCGGGTGTGAAGGAGTCGGATGGGGGGGGGGGTTCATGTAAAGTGCACTCCATCAGAGACAGAGTCCATTGCTCGCTCATAAACAGTCCGAGTCGCCGCTGCTTTCCTTTCTGCCTGTACAGCGCCATCTCTTGGCTAAGCCACATTTTACACCTAAAACACGCATAAATAAAATGTTTTTTTTAAAAAGATTGACCGATCCACTGAGAATCAACTTTTTTTTTTTTTTAAATCTCATGTTAAGGGATATCCTGCCGAATATATAATATATAATATATATGTATAAATATATACAATCCCTGTCGTTTGCTGTAGTCTATAGCCTCAGATGCAGAGTTGCACTTGCAACCCTCTAAAGGTGTTTAAATATATATACTTGTATATGACCTATTTATTTCTACCTTCATAACACCTAATCCCTGCCACACAAAAAGCCACAAAGGTTACAGATTGTTTATATACACGGTGCCCCCCCCGCCCCCCCTGACTTTGAACATCAGCTACCACAAAAATAATTTCCGCTGTGTGCATTGCAGTTGTGTGTTCAAGGATGAAACTCAATAGTGAACATTTGTCCAATTACTTGCTAAAAAGAAACGACAATCAGTTGAGGTAACAAACCCGTATACACAAACGACACACACACACACACCAAACACACGCAGCTTTCTCAGACACGGTGTGGGCCGAGCGATGAGACTCTGTCACGTGTCGCCGAGCTGCCGCAGCTCATCCCTGATTCAAAGAAAAGCAGTCAACCAAATGATGCTCCTCGTCTTACAGCTAGTCTGCACGGTTCTGATTCGGCAGAGACCTGAGGGTCCGCTTTCATGTTCACTGTTGACGGAGCTGCCTGCCAGCGCGGCCGGACAGAGAAGAGAGTTTCTCTTTTTTAGTGTCTTCATATTCAAAAAGCGAAATGAATCTAAAGTCTGAACAGTCAGGACAGGAGAGCGAAATCCGACTCAAAAACCGCCCAGAGAAAAGAAGAACCAGACACAGCGGCGGGCGGACGGATTCAGACATTCCTGGCTTCAATTTTAGAGCCCAGACCTGTCAGAGCGGACCAAAATCTTCTGGGGGGGGGAAGAGAGAGGAGAATGAAAGAGTCGGCGATCTGTTCACAAACCAATTGCAGGGCATTCTGGGTAACCAAGCCTGGTTTGTTTTGTCTCTTGTCTGTCAAATAGCTCAAAAGTCCAATTTTTTTTTGCCTGATTGAAAACGTACTTGTTCGCTCCAACCAGAAATGCAGCCGGATCAAGTCCAACATGGTAATTCGTTTGATGAGTAATCCCTGGATCGTCGGCTCAACCCACGGGGGTGGGGGGGGGGTGTCATGTTTGGAGTACATCAAAGTACAAAATGAACGCACATCGCCGTACAGCTGAGCATCAGTGTCCACACGTGCAACATGAGTGTGTTTGCATGCTTGTGTTGTGCATGAATACATTTCCTGCATGAGGAGTAAGTTACCGGGTCAATGGTTGTTTTATTCTTTGTGGGTTTTCAAAAGGGGAGGGGGGGGTATCAGAGCTGGTGGGGGGGGTGGGGGCATGTACACAAGCCAAAGTACACATCTCCTTTGTGTCCATTCCTCTCCTCTCTTCTTTATGTCACCCAGTTATCCAATCTCACTCTCTTGATGCTCGTCCCGTCCTGCTCCTGAGGCTCAGCTGAAGATGGCCGCAGGAGGATCATGGTGGACTGCTGAGCTCCGCCTCCCCCCTGGTGGTGGAAGTCCTGTCCCCCGCCTCGACCCTGGGCGCCGTCGTCCCGGTCGCTGCCCTCGTAGGAGCTGCCGTTGCTGCTGAGGCTGTCGACGGGCGAGCGGCCCTGGTTGCCGGGGAAGGCCACCGCCACCAGACCTTGTCCCTGGATCTGAGCACCCGCACCGCCGGTGGAGCTGGGGGTGCTGCGGTCACGGTTCGGGGATACGGGTTCTGATTTGATGTTGACGTTAGGGTTTGTGTTGACTGTGAGTGCGGTGCTCTGAGGTACAGGGCCCACTGACCTGGAGAGAAAAACAAGAGAGGTAGGGCAATAATTAACGTACGGGACGGAGAGGGTTAAAATGAAGAATCAAACACAAACTCCAGAGTGATCAAATGATCAGATGAAGGTGCAACTGGTAAAAGCCAAGAGAGGAAGAACCAAAGACAGCCAAGCAAAGCTGTAAGCCGGCGGATGAGAGCGCAGCAGACGGACAGCAGAGACACAGCAGAGCACATTACAGCAGAGTCATTACGCCATGCAGCACAATCATTCCTGCATATTGGATTTGCTGTCAGGTTCCACAGCTAAAGATGAGCATTGCTGCTGAATACATTTATATTCTGTTCAATCAGCTCCACAATGCAAACTGCTGACTGTCATCAACTCATCTTTCTGCTTTCTTTACTTCCAGCAAAGTGAACACTTGCATTTTAAGGATCATCTGTCATGTTCAGCTTCTCCTTTGTGTTAAAGTTAGGGAGCACAACTCTTAAAGCTTTCACTTCGTTATCAACTGCATCAGTTTCTCCACAGTATTTGCATTTGTTTGTTAATCCGTCTCATACACTGGAAAAACGATCCAGAAGTAAGTAAAAATGTCGTAAATTAAGTGTATTAACCCTTAATCTGAGTAGGTAAATGAGATAATTTGCCACTGGAATGAGTATTTTTATTCTTAAAATAAGATAATTAGTAAAAGGTACTTGAAATAAGACAATGCAATTGTGTTTTCTTATTTTAAATCTAAAGTGTCATGTTCCATTGGTAAAATGGAAAGGGTTTTTATCTCTTTAACCAACTGACAGGAAGTGATTTCTGAAGTTCTGTCTTGCGCATAAAAGATATCTACAGATTCAGATAACTTATAACTTTTTGTAATTCTTAAATTATTTACTGAGATCATAAATGTAAGTTTTTATAATAGAAAATAGATTCCAGGGCAAGTTTGTCACAGATATTCTAGATTTATAAACACCGATCCTTTAAAAGGAATTTCCACCCGTTTGAAATGTTCTACAAACAGTCCATGAGGCATTTAACCATAACGTTGATAACATAGGGCATTACATGACAGGGGAATTCATAGAAAAACAATGTAGATGGATTTGGAAACATGTAGAATCAACTTTGACCTTAACTGTATGAATTTTGGAGAACATTTCGCTAATCTAGACATTAATGGACGTGAATATTTTCCTGTTCTTCCCTGTAGTTTAGCTGAAGCCCAATGAGATCAGATAAAGAGGATCTGAAGTCAGGTTCTCAATCCTTTTACATGTTTTCTGATCAAACTGACTTTATTAAGCTACACTGATCTTTACTTCAGCTCTGCACAGTTTTTCTGCTGCTCGTGAAAAGCTGCCATCGTCAGCCTTTATGCTGGGGATGGTGCGTTCGGGAACATGTGCAGCTTTAGTTTTCATCTGTATAAATGTTCGCATGCAGACCAAGTTACTCAAGTTGAGTCTCATCTGAGCAGAGGAGCTTCTTTTAAATGTTTCCCTAAAAAAGCTTTCTACAAATATAACTTCTTATATTGCCTGGTTCTGCTGGAGGTTTCTTCCTGTTAAAAGGGAGTT